GGTTGAGATGCTAAATTCTGGGGTTGGTTCTGTCGGTGACTTTGTGGTCTATTTCTTTGTCCCCTGGATTTGTATACTCTCTGCTGTTGGTGAGACGTGTTGTCTCAATTCCTGTTGTATGGCTGATAACGTTGTCTCCTGTTTGGATTGTGTATAGCCCTAATGTTCTGAGGGTCGCCCTGGAGTCTTTCATGGAGTGGGGAACTTTGTCAGTTTTGGCTGAAAATAGTTTGTCTCTGTTGAAGGGAAAGTCTTCCACTTTGTGTTGCAGTTCTCTGGGGATTCCTGATGAATGCAGCCATGATGCACTGCGCAGAAAAACCTGAGAGTCTCTGGATTAAGTTTAGAAGTGTGAGCAACAAGGGTGATGTCGTGGTGGGAGTCTGCTATAGACCACCAGACCAGGGGGATGAGGTGGACGAGGCTTTCTTCTGGCAACTAACAGAAGTTACTAGATCACAGGCCCTGGTTCTCATGGGAGGCTTTAATCACCCTGATATTTGCTGGGAGAGCAATACAGCAGTGCACAGACAATCCAGGAAGTTTTTGGAAAGTGTAGGGGACAATTTCCTGGTGCAAGTGCTGGAGGAACCAACTAGGGACAGAGCTCTTCTTGACCTGCTGCTCACAAACCGGGAAGAATTAGTAGGGGAAGCAAAAGTGGATGGGAACCTGGGAGGCAGTGACCATGATATGGTCGAGTTCAGGATCCTGACACAAGGAAGAAAGGAGAGCAGCAGAATACGGATCCTGGACTTCAGAAAAGCAGACTTTGACACCCTCAGGGAACTGATGGGCAGGATCCCCTGGGAGAATAACATGAGGGGCAAAGGAGTCCAGGAGAGCTGGCTGTATTTTAAAGCATTCTTATTGAGGTTGCAGGAACAAACCATCCCGATGTGAGGAAAGGATAGTAAATATGGCAGGCGACCAGCTTGGCTTAACAGTGAAACCCTTGCTGATCTTAAACGCAAAAAAGAAGCTTACAAGAAGTTGAAGATTGGACAAATGACCAAGGAGGAGTATAAAAATATTGCTCAGGCATGCAGGAGTGAAATCAGGAAGGCCAAATCACACTTGGAGTTGCAGCTAGCAAGAGATGTTAAGAGTAACAAGAAGGGTTTCTTCAGGTATGTTAGCAACAAGAAGAAAGTCAAGGAAAGTGTGGGCCCCTTACTGAATGAGGGAGGCAACCTAGTGACCGAGGATGTGGAAAAAGCTAATGTACTCAATGCTTTTTTGGCCTCTGTCTTCACGAACAAGGTCAGCTCCCAGACTGCTGCACTGGGCAGCACAGCATGGGGAGAAGGTGACCAGCCCTCTGTGGAGAAAGAAGTGGTTTGGGACTATTTAGAAAAGCTGGATGAGCACAAATCCATGGGGCCGGATGCGCTGCATCCGAGTGTGCTAAAGGAGTTGGCAGATGTGATTGCAGAGCCATTGGCCATTATCTTTGAAAACTCATGGCGATCAGGGGAGGTCCCGGATGACTGAAAAAAGGCTAATGTAGTGCCCATCTTTAAAAAAGGGAAGGAGGAGGATCCGGGGAACTACAGGCCAGTCAGCCTCACCTCAGTCCCTGGAAAAATCATGGAGCAGGTCCTCAAGGAATCAATTCTGAAGCACTTAGAGGAGAGGAAAGTGATCAGGAACAGTCAGCATGGATTCACCAAGGGCAAGTCATGCCTGACTAACCTAATTGCCTTCTATGAGGAGATAACTGGGTCTTTGGATGAGGGGAAAGCAGCGGATGTGTTATTCCTTGACTTTAGCAAAGCTTTTGATGCGGTCTCCCACAGTATTCTTGCCAGCAAGTTAAAGAAGTATGGGCTGGATGAATGGACTATAAGGTGGATAGAAAGCTGGCTAGATCGTCGGGCTCAACGGGTAGGGATCAATGGCTCCATGTCTAGCTGGCAGCCGGTATCAAGCGGAGTGCTCAAGGGTCGGTCCTGGGGCCGGTTTTGTTCAATATCTTCATTAATGATCTAGAGGATGGCGTGGACTGCACACTCAGCAAGTTCGCAGATGACACTAAACTGGGAGGAGTAGTAGATACACTGCAGGGTAGGGATAGGATACAGAGGGACCTAGACAAATTAGAGGATTGGGCCAAAAGAAACCTGATGAGGTTCAACAAGGACACGTGCAGAGTCCTGCACTTAGGACTGAAGAATCCCATGCACTGCTACAGACTAGGGACCAAATGGCTAGGCAGCAGTTCTGCAGAAAAGGACCTAGGGGTTACAGTGGACGAGAAGCTGGATATGAGTCGACAGTGTGCCCTTGTTGCCAAGAAGGCTAACGGCATTTTGGGCTGTATAAGTAGGGGCATTGCCAGCAGATCGAGGGATGTGATCATTCCCCTCTATTCGGCATTGGTGAGGCCTCATCTGGAGTACTGTGTCCAGTTTTGGGCCCCATACTACAAGGAGGTGGAAAAATTGGAAAGAGTCCAGCGGAGGGCAACAAAAATGTTTAGGGGGCTGGAGCACATGACTTATGAGGAGAGGCTGAGGGAACTGGGATTGTTTAGTCTGCAGAAGAGAAGAGTGAGGGGGGATTTGATAGCTGCTTTCAACTACCTGAAAGGGGGTTCCAAAGAAGATGGATCTAGATTGTTCTCAGTGGTAGCAGATGACAGAACAAGGAGTAATGGTCTCAAGTTGCAGTGGGGGAGGTTTAGGTTGGATATTAGGAAAAACTTTTTCACTAGGAGGGTGGTGAAGCACTGGAATGGGTTACCTAGGGAGGTGGTGGAATCTCCTTCCTTAGAGGTTTTTAAGGTCAGGCTTGACAAAGCCCTGGGTGGGATGATTTAGTTGCGAATTGGTCCTGCTTTGAGCAGGGGGTTGGACTAGATGATCTCCTGAGGTCCCTTCCAACCCTGATATGCTGTGATTCTAGGATTACAATGGCTGTTGCTGTCGTGCTAGCTGCTGTGTCTGCCGTGTCGAGGGTGGCCTGTAGTGCTGTCCTGGAGATAAGCTGGCCCTCATTCACGATGGCCCGGAATTGTTCTCTTTTCCCCTCAGGTATATCCTGGGTGAATTCTGTGAATTTGTTATAATTGTCATGATCATAGTTTGCCAGTAGTGCGGTGTAATTTGCAGTGCGGCTGATGTATATACTTTTCAGCCTAGAAGATCCAGTCTCTTCCATTCTTTGTCTTGAGGAGTGGATTTATATTGTTTGTTTCTTTGATTTACTGCGTCCACCACTAAGCAGTTTGGTGGTGGGTGCAGAAATAGGAATTCCATCCCTTTATTTGGCACGTGGTATTTCCTATCCATGCGCTTGTTGGTTGGTGGGATGGAGGCTGGTGTTTGCCACACTAAGTCTGCCGGGTCCAGGAGGGCATCATTGATGGGGATGGTGATCTTGGAGGAAGTTGATGTATGGAGTATTTTCAGGAGTTGGTGTTGCGTCTCCTGTACTTCTTTTAGAGAGATGTGCCACTCGCCTGAAGAGCTCCTGGAAGTGTTTGAAGTCGTCAGGGGCCGTTGTAGTTGTGGGTATAACTGCTTCATCTGGAGAGGATGAGGAATTGTGTTCTGGAGACTCACCATGTTCTGATGTGTCATCTCTTTCTTCTTCCCCTTACTCTGTGGCTTCAGAGGGTTCGGGTACTGAAGTCGGTGCTGATTTTATGGTTTTTCTGTGTGTGGATGCAGTCTGTTGGAATTGAGCCCTAAAAGCTGCCCATGGGTCCCATTATAGTTGGAATGGCATGGGTGGACATATCCATGGGTGAGCAAGCCATGGTGGTAGACCCTTATTTGGGTTTGATTTTCTTTTGTATTTGGTCGCTGTTGGAGAAGAATGGCCAGAAAAGAAGACAGCTTCCTCTTCTTCATCTTCATCACTTGAAAATGGTGGTGTGATGGGTAAGTGGGTTGGTCTGGTGCTGTAGATACTGACGAATCCGTGGTGCCGAGTAGAGGAGAGCTCGGTGCAGCTGCAATCTGAGCTGTTGCGGTTTGTTCAGCAGACATCGGTGCCGCCGCATGTGGTGCCGCCGCTTTCAGTGCCGATCGCTTGTGTGTGGCCTTTCTCGGCACTGTGGTGTCTTGATTAGATTGTTCTATGCTCTGTGCCGCTATCATCGGTGGCGGAGGGGGCGCCATGTTTTGAGGCATGAGTTGCGGTGCCGTTCCCTTCACTGGGGTAGACGGTGCTGCTACGCTACTAAAAACTACATCGACTTAAATCCAAGCTTAAACTATTAACACTATAAGTACTATCCTAAATATCTAAAATCTAATTTTTTTGTTATAGGTAGGGACACTGCTAACGGACTCCATCTCAAGCCGAAGATGGTTGAGAAGGAACTCAGGGGGTCGGGGGATGCGCGTGCCAGAAGAGGCATCAGTGCTGCCACAAGACAGCTACTGTGCACGCACGCTGCCCGACCAGACACTGCTAGCAAAATGTCCGATTGACGGCGCCGGGACACATTGCCACCTGAAGTGCAACACCCACATGGACACCACTCAATGAAGAAGAGAGACCTCAGCTGAGTTCCCAAGGCTCTGAGGGGTGTAAATCAGACCTTAGCATTATGCTTGACTTTTGTGGTCTGGAGAAGAGAGGTATTCTAGAGGCTGCTCAGAGCTCTGTGCACCATTGGGGTGAGGAGCTGTTTGTTAGTAATATCAATAGCAGCCCATAGGAGAGCAGAAGTACTCCTAGGTGTTCCAGTTAGCAAACGGACCAGCTATACATGTGTTCGGAGCACAACCACTGAAACTACGGAAAGGGATGGATTTTTGTTTTGGTATCAGCGGTTCTGGAACTGGACACCGTAGAGATTTTAGTCCCTAGATCAATGTGCTGTAGCGTCGTTATGGAAGAAGCCAAACCTAGATACTGGTCAAACTGTGGCTGAGTTATACAGCACTGGGTCCCCATGTTATGTAAATGTGTCGAAGCTAATTGTATAATCTTGGGCAGAGGAGACTCCCCCCACCCCTAGCAGGGAAAGGCAGCGCAGGGAGGACTTACTGGTCCCGATTTGGAGGTTTCCGGAGTTGGTCAGCGGCCACTCGGGCAGAGAAGTTATAAAATTGCATGACGTTCTCGAAGTAGAGACTGGAGACAGCTTCATACTGCAAAACCCAAACCCATCAGTCCTGGAGAAAGAGCCAGTAGTGTGACCCGAGACCAGTATCCCCCGCTGCTACTGTCTGCAGCCCTGCAGCTGTCTGGCAAGGGGCTCACACAGTGACCATCACTACAGTATCTGAGTGCATCGCAGAGTGGCATCTGTACCTTGCATACAGGTCTCAAAGGTTTGCAATGGGCAGCTGTTCTCTCTCTAGGCACCTAAAATACAGTGTCCCTCAGGGCTCAATCTCACCCCGTTCCTATTAATGCCAATGTTTGGCCATGCATGAGGAAACACTGCAGACTCCAGCTGTCCATAGGCAGATAACACCCAGCCCCACTCTCTTCCCAGCAAGCCCTGACCAAATAGTTCACTCATTGACTGTGGGGACGACCTAGACCAGTGGTTCTCAACCTATTTATATGCAGCCCACAAAGTGTTAGCTGGGCCGCAGGTTGAGAACCACTGTGCCCCCCACCCTTAAACCCCCTATGCTCAGTGCCCCCCAAAGACCCCTCCACAGAGTGGGCCAGGAGCGGAGAGCTGGGCAGGCGACAGGGACCCAGACCCTGGAACCTGCCAACTGGAAGGGGAGCCGGCAGCCTGCCAGGCGGGAGGGGAGCCAGGAGTCTGGACACTGAGCCCCACTGCGTGGCAGGGGAGCCGGGAGACTGAGCCCCACTGCAGAGGCCAGGTGGCAGCCAGCTGCCTAGACCCTGAGCCCCACTGAGGGGGGGGGGACACACACACCCAGGACCCCACTGGGACTCCAAGCCCTGCTGTGCGGGGCCAGCGGTAGCTGGGACCCCTGAGCCTGCTGCGCAGCAAGGCAGCCCAGCTGGGACCCCGGAGAGCGTCAGGGTAGCTTGGAGCCCACCGCCCGGCAGGGCAGCTGGGACCTGGCAGCCAGGAGCCCGCCACTAGCCTGGAGCCCCCAGCCTTTAGCACACAGCTGAGCTGGGCCGCAGCTATGTGCTAACTGGGTCGCGGTTTGAGAACTGCTGACCAAGACAGATGTGTCACGGCTGGCTCAACCCCAACCCAAATAAGACTGAGATGGTGCTGATCACGTCCAGAACTGGCTAGACCCACAGTGATTTCCAGGCAGGGAGAGGGGCAATCGCCTTGCGGTGTATGTGTGGTGCCTTTCTGAGAATATTATGCACTTGACAAAAGGTGGATGACACGAATTTTCACACAGGCCTGGGGAGCGAACCCATCCTGCACTCATCTGGCTGGGGCAGCTCCTGTCCCCTTGGGCTGGGCCCAGCTCCCCACTCCAGGTGCTGTGACATGGCTCATCAAGCTGCTTGGCACTGCGACCCTGGCACCAGGTTGCAATGCCACTCACTCAGATTTGGCCCAGCTTCCCTCCCATCATGAGGTGTGGCTGGGCCAAACCTGAATGGTGCTGCACCCCCTCGCACCAGATCGCAGGGTCAGGAGTGGGGAGCTGGGCCCAGCCCCATGGGAGAGAAACTGCAGGTAGGGTTGCCAACTTTCTATTGGCAGAAAACCAGGCTCTCAGTGGCTCAGAATCCTCTACAGGATGCTCAGCTTATAGTAGTGGCCAAAATTACCCAGCGTGCTACATGTTTCCCTATCAGCCATGGAGCCAACCAGCAATCCTTGTGCTGCTCACCTCGGGCTGGGCTGCTGCAATGCACTTTTACTGGGGTGGACACTGAACCCAGCATAAAGAACAGGAGTACTTGTGGCACCTTAGAGACTAACACATTTATTTGAGCATAAGCTTTCGTGGGCTAAAACCTACTTCGTCGGATGCATGCAGTGGAAGATACAGTAGGAAAATATATATACACAGAGAACATGAAAAAATGGATGTTGCCATACCAACTATAACGAGGGTAATTAATTAAGGTGAGCTATTAGATGAGCTATTATCAGCAGAAGAAAAAAAAAAACTTTTGCAGTGATAATCAGGATAGCCCATTTCCAACCGTTGACAAGAAAGTGTGAGTAGCAGAGGAGGGGAAACTTAGCATGGGAAAACAGTTTTACTTTGTGTAATGACCCATCCACTCCCAGTCTTTATTCAAGCCTAATTTAATGGTGTGTAGTTTTCATGTTCTCTGTGTATATATATTTTCCTACTGTATTTTTCACTTCATGCTGTGACAGACCCAGACCAGTGGGGTACAGGAGTCTGGTAGAGGGCAAATATACTGGTCACTGGATGAATAGTTTTCTGTTCCCTGAGTGACCAGAGCAGAGGCTGCACTAGAGTAATCAGGAACCTGCTAGAACCAGTTAAGGCAGGCAGGCTAATTAGGACACCTGGAGCCAATTAAGAAGAAGCTGCTAGAATCAATTAAGGCAGGCTAATCAGGGCACCTGGGTTTTAAAAGGAGCTCACTTCAGTTTGTGGTGAGAGTGTGAGGAGCTGGGAGCAAGAGGCGCAAGGAGCTGAGAGTGAGAGGGTGTGCTGCTGGGGGACTGAGGAGCACAAGCGTTATCAGACACCAGGAGGAAGGTCCTGTGGTGAGACTAAGGAAGGTGTTTGGAGGAGGCCATGGGGAAGTAGCCCAGGGAGTTGTAGCTGTCATGCAGCTGTTACAGGAGGCACTAGAGACAGCTGCAGTCCACAGGGCCCTGGACTGGAACCCGGAGTAGAGGGTGGGCCCGGGTTCCCCCCAAACCTCCCAATTGACCTGGACTGTGGGTTCTTCCAGAGGGGAAAGTCTCTGGGCTGTTCCCCAACCCACATGGTGAATCTCTGAGGCAAGAAAATCCGCCAATAAGCGCAGGACCCACCAAGATAGAGGAGGAACTTTGTCACAATGCATATGATGAAGTGGGTTTTAGCTCACGAAAGCTTATGCTCAAATAAATGTGTTAGTCTCTAAGGTGCCACAAGTACTCCTCGTTCTTTTTGCTGATACAGACTAACACAGCTACCACTCTGAAACCTGAACCCTGCATTGTTACCACGCACTGCCCTAGAGAAACACCTCTGTGCTGGCTGCCAGTACTACCCTGGGTCGATTGCAAGCTCCTAGTCTTTGTATAGCCCATAACAAACAAGGACACAGCTGCACTCAGGAGAGTTGTTCCCACAGACCCCTGGAATGTGCTGCTGACAGAGAGGAGACTGAGTCTCATGGCTTTCAGAATGGAGGTTAAGCTGCACCAATTCACAAAGGAGTTTCCCGGTTAACCAGGTGAGAAATCCTCTCAACAGGGCACAGGAAGTGGAGAAGAGTTTGTCCTTTTAGAAGGAACCCAGTCTTAAATTCATTAAGTGTCCAGATACTGCAATGATGCGGGCCCCTAAACACATGCAACAATAAGAACAGACTTCGGCAATATTAAATTTCTTGGCTGCAGATCAATTGGTTTAGGACACATTTTGAATCATGGGGGTTTAATTTTGTGGCTGGTCTATTTGTGAGGGCTACTGTATCAGAATTTCACATGGGGCGGCAGTTTCCCCAGTGGATTCCTACAGTGGGGGGCAAGAGTGGAGCAGTAGAGGGAACTCAGACATGAGGGTGTGTAGCCAGTCAACTCACATCATGAAACACCTTGTCCAGCTCCTTGGGATCCAGGATAAACTTGGGGTAACCGATCATGTCATAGATTGCATCTGCCTGGGTTGAAGTTGGAAAGAGAGAAGAGGAGGGTCACACAAGGCTGTTCCTCTGATCTGTGCACATCCTGTGGGTTTGTGGAGGGTAGGTGGGGAAAGAGTCCAGCTTGGCCACAAGGCTCTAATTCCAAGGGCTGTCACACATGGTAATCTCAAGTTTCTTACTTTCCATCCAGATCTGGTGTCACTCCCCCCAACGCACTTTTATCGCTGAAAATTATTTGCATCAGAAATGAAGGCTCCTGGAACCATGGCCACGGAGAGGGGGGTTGCAGGGATGGAAGGGATCCCACAGCATTTTTAACTTCCTTGCACGAATAATCGGTATCTCCCTCATTTTGAGTTTTTTCCATGTGTCACCTACTGGAGGCCAGCCTTGTTAGGCAGAGAGGTCTACACACATTTATGGGATCACAAATCTTGGGTTACTGGGATTTACAATGAGAAAGAGCAAGAAATAAACCTCAAAGACTGTGCTCTCACATGACAGAGCTGTCCCCTAGGGAACCTATCCCAGCAGTGCACTCCCACGGAATACACATAATAATGGCCTAGTTTGTTAGTCTGTGATGAGTCTTAAGATGCCACGGTGCTTAGACGATCATGGCCCGGGACCCCCACAAGCTAGCAAAGAAACAGTCAAGGATGGGTAATAAATTAATGTGGGAGCTCCCCAGCTCTGAGGAGGCAAAAGGAAAATGCCAGGATCTGCTTGAAACAATCTCATGATGGAAATGCTAGGGGCTGTACAGAGCTCCCCCAAGGCATGGAGTGAGGGGCAGACTGTGCCTTGCTTAGACACCACTAGCCTTCTCCTTGGCAGATTTCCTCGTCTCTTCATCCATCCACTGCAGAGTGGCCAGGCTTTCCTCAAAGGCAGTTTTAATCTCTGTAATCATTTCCTCGGCCTAGACAAAATAAGAGGTCTTGTGTCAGCTGGAAGCCAAAACATTTACCCTGCTCAACAGGATCAAAGACTAAGCAAAAGTCTCTTGAAATAGCTGTGGGGAGATAGAAACCACCCGCACCACACCCGGCTGTAGACAGGATGTGAAGGGCCCAGATGGTTGGGGTGCTGTCCCCAATTCACTCCTAAAAAATATGATCTACTTTGAAGCTGGTAGATTGCAACGATGAATTCGTGGCTTGGTTTTTATGTGGGACCCACACATAGCGGCGGAGAAGCAAACGCTCCCCCCAGAGCAGAGCTGCTGCTGATGGGAGGATGCCACTGTGCACTGCAGGAGACAAGAAGGTTATGTTGGCTGAAGCGCCATTAGCAATGAGGGCTGGTGTACGTGTGTATGCTGGGCTCTGCCAAAAGGAGGACAAACTAAGTCAGAAAAAGGAAGTGGGTTTTGATCATCTAGCCAGGAGGCTGTAAGGATGAGGAAAGTTAAGTAGGTCACAGAGCATAAGGGACATTATGGAGGGAGCCTTAAGTCTGCAGCCTCTTCAGCTTTGGTGAAATCTGCTCCTAGAGCATGGCCTGTAACCCTGCAGCATGTAATTACAATCAGACATGTCCATTTGGGACAAGGTCCTCAGTCTGGTGCACTGGATAGTCTGGGGATGAGATAGACAGTCCCTTTCCAAACAGAAGAGCTGCCAGTTTTCCCAAGAAGTGGCATGGAGCAGTGGATAGTGCACAGGATTAGGAGCCAGAGGATCTAGGTTCTGCTCCAGCTCTGCTACTAACTCACTGTGTAACCTTGGGTCAGTCATGTCCCTCTGTATCTCAGTTTCCCCATCTAGAAAATGGCCAGAGCTCCCTGTGAAGTGCTATAGAAATACAGGGATTTTTCTTCTCCCCCATTATACAGTAGGTTTGGTGGTGGCGGGGGCTAGGCAGCAGTTAGTTATTGGAGCTGTGAATGATTCGGGGCACACCACCAACCCCTTCCCCTCCACCTCTAGACACAGGTTTTCCAGAGGCATTTATGGGGTCCATACTGTGCTATTGTTTGAAGCTTTAAACAGCATGTTGGGGGAGCTTCACTTTCACATGCAAGGTGACTCGAGAGACAGTAAATCAATCTGGCTCTAGATTCTCTCCCCACTGGCCTGCGAGCCAGCCCAGTAATCCAGTGGGAGGTGAGGACATACTATTTTCTTGCTGTCCTCTGCAAAAGTGGCTTTAACAAACATGGCTCCCAGCGCAAAGCCCAGGCTGTTGTCGGTGTCGCTGACGCAGAACTTCCAGCGTGGCAGACAGGTCTATGGGGGGAGAAGAGAAGATTAAACCAGTCACTCCTGCACCCTGCCAGACACAGCTCTGTGCAGAGAGGCCTCTGACATGGGGCTGGGAGCAGTGGGTTAAACAAGAGAGGGTGCTTTCAGTGCACTAGCTATGGAGGAGGAGGAGGAACTGGGGGCGCTGCTTAGCCAAGCCAGGGAAGGAGGGGCACTGAAGCGGGGGGTTCTGTGTGTGTGGGGGAGTGTGGGGGACAGAATGGCACTTGTGCGTGTGCGTGGGGAAGAAATACTGCTTAGCCAAGCCAGGCCCGCTGACAGCAATTCTGGGCCCCAAGGCAGAATAGCAAATGGACCCCCACACACGCACAAGCCACGCGGATGCGGTCCACCTGACTTTTGGGCGGTGCAGCACCTGTGTTGGCTGGTGCCCAGCGAGCTGCTGGCTGCACTGCTGGGCATGCTCTTCTGGCATGGCCAGGGCTTCCATATGCCTGCCCGGTAGGGCTGCCAACTGTCTAATCGCACAAACCCAAAGACCATTGCCCCACCACCTGCCCCTTACCTTCCCTGAGACCACACCCCTGTCCCACCCCTTCTCCGAGGCCCTGCCCCCTGCTCATTCCACCCCCCACCCTTCATCTCTCGCTCTCCCCCACCCTCACTCACTTTCACCAGGCTGGGGCAGGGGGTTGGGGTGCAGGCTCTGGGAGGGAGTTTGGGTGTGGGAGGGGGTGCGGGATGTGGGCTCTGGGAGGGAGTTTGGGTGCGGGCTCTAGACTGGAGCAGGGGGTTGGGGTTCAGGAGGGGGTCAGGGGGTCGGCGCTTACCTTGGGTGGCTCCCGAAAACGACCGGCACACCCTTCTGGCAGCAGCTCCTAGGTGGGGGGCCCAGGGGGTCTTCACGCTTTGCTGCCTGCGGGCACTGCCCCTGCAGCTCCCACTGGCTGTGGTTCCCGACCAATGGGAGCTGTGGAGTTGGTGCTCGGGGCGGGGGCAGCATGCAGAGATCCCCCTCCCCAGGGGCCGCAGGGACACCAGCTGCTTCTGGGAGCGGCGCGGAGTGAGGGTGGGCAGAAAGCCTGCTTTAGCCTTGCTGTGCTGCCGGCAGCAGCGTCCAGGGACTCCTGGCCCCTTTTAAATCGCCCGGGCCCCTGGGCAATTGTCCCCTTTGACCCCCACTGTCGGCGGGCTTGCAGGAAGTAGAGGGGATCTCGCCTCCCACTCTCCCTTACTTTAGTCACGAGGGTTTCAGAGAGACACTCCCATCACTCAAGCCTGCTAAGGCCTCTCTTTCGCTCCACTGAGATGGTCATTTCTATGCCCTGCTGTCCCATTCCTCCCCCCACCCATGGGAGTGGGTGAGTGCCTGCCCCCCAGGGCCACATGAGGCCCAGAGGCTCCCCCTCTTGCCATCTCCTCCCCCTCAGAGGTGCAGACAAAACCAATCCCAGCACCTTGTCCGAGTGCAGTGAGAGCCCATTTCCTGTGATTCAGAGGCTGCTCTTATCTCAGCATGGAACTGCAGCTCAGCCAAGCTGGGCCAGACTCCCTTTTCCGGGCATCTGGTCCTAACGGCTTGCCTGGGAAGAGGTCAGGGCTCCAGGGACCATTTCACAGGCTGGTTGGAGGAGGGAGCAATCCTGCTGCACTCTTATAGTGGCGTTTGGCAGCTCTGTGCACAGCCTCCCCCACTTCACAAAGAGCTCAGTGCTGTGGGCGGGGACACCGCTGGCCTTTGGACAGATGGCTCCATTGTGAAATGATTGACGTGGCCGCCGCTGGTCCTTAGTGAGACAAGGGTGGCCTTAAGCAGAAGCAATGCAAGTGACTGCACGGGGTTAGGCACCCCACCCAAACTCTGCAACTCTTGGGCCAGCAGCAGGGAACTGCAGCGCCAGGCCTTCCTGCCGGGGGGAGGAAAGGGAGGAATTTCTGCCCTTCCCTCCAGGCGAACAGCTTGTGGCCCTGCCAAATCAGAAGGGCAGCCTCACATAAACAGAAAGCCCATGTCTCCTCCTATGTATGGATGAAGCTGTGTGGGGCACCTCCATCACATGGGAAATGGGAGCCCTTTGGAGCGAACCGCTAGGCTGAAAGAGAGCGGCCTGGAAGATTTTAAGCTAGGAGGCACAGTGATTTGGGGGTGGGGACTGACGCATGTTTTGTCATGTAGTTTCTCTCCCATCTCCCTCCTGTTCCCCCACAGACTCACCTTCTTGGTTCCATACATGACTTCCATTAATTTCTCCTCTGCATCCTGGAAGCGCTGGTCCAGGAAGGAGCTGGTTTTCCTCACCAGATTCCAGATCATGTAGTTGTTCAGGAGGCTGCAATGGAAGAGAGAATAAAAAGATTTTCTACAAAACATGGAAGTTCCCAACTGTTTTCTGGAGTCGAGTCCCCCCGACCTTTGTCGTTCTGGTCCACAAGCCATTTGGTACCTGTGACCGGGTGCTGGGAATCAGCCACTGACCCACCAGCTTTCTGGTCACTGTTTAAATCAGTCAGGCCCACTGGCAGGGCCTGATTAAGGAGAGGAGTTCCCCATTACCAGATCAGACTAGGGCAGGGAAGCTAATGAGCTAATTAGCCCATTAACAAGGAGACTGGATAAAAGAGCACAGGAAGGAAGTGCAAGGGGAGGAGAAGCAGAAGAAATAGTGGCTAGCAGGGCCTGACCAAGGGGAGTTCTCTGGAAGGAGACACCAGTTCCCTGCCCCCACTTTTGGAAAAGGGGTTAGAAAGTTGAGATATGGTGTGTAAAGGTGTGGAGACACTGCTGTGTATGGATGGAGGGATTAAAACACTGCAAATAAACTACACAGGGTGTTTCTGAGGAAGAAGGTCTTCACATCTGTACTCAGATGTTTGGCTGCGTGTGTGTTTTCTCTATGTGCCATTCCACCTCTGCGCAGACAGCTGACACAGCAGACCTCGATTGAACCGCCCAATGACCACAAGAGCCGTTAAGGTACAAAGATACTTGGTCAGGTTTATTGCTGACGAAGCACGGTCCTAGCTCCCTGGATTAATGTCTACAGTTACACTAGCACATGTATGCCCGTGACAATGGATGCAACTCAGTCAGTGGCAGGACTTCCCACTGTCTCCTAGGCTGGCCAAAGACACTCCCTCTTATACACCAATACAAACAAGTTACGCATTGCCCCTCGGGCGTGGTTAGTTTGATCAAAACATCTCTATCCATCACACTGTCATCCTGACCCTTATCTTTAGGAGGGGTCAGGGTGTTCTCAGGGCTGGCGCAACCCATTAGGCAACCTAGGCGGTCGCCTAGGGCACTACAATTTGGGGGGCGGCGACCGCAGTGGTATTTCAGCGGTGGGACCTTCCGCCACCTCTGTGGGGGGCGGCATTTCGGGGTGGGACCTTCCGCTGCCTAGGGCGGCAGAAAAGCTGGTGGCGCTCCTGAGTGTTCTTGTTATCTTTGGGGGGGGGGGGGGTGTGTTAGTACCATACGTAGTATGGGGTGTTCTAGTATCACCCTTCTGGACTGTGTTTGTGTGAGTGTCCTGTGCCTAGCACTTCTCAGGAATGTGTGTGTTTTTGCAATATCAGCCCTGTTCTTGCCAGATTCTGTGAACTTGCACGCAGACAGAGCCTGACATCTGCTTACAGTCTGACTTTTGCTAACTTTGCTTTATATCGGCAAAGCTTGCCCACTACTTTAGTTCAGGCCTCATACCAGACCTCTCATACAAGGGCATATGTCTTAGCCTCTCTTTCTACTACAGCAAAAGCAAAGAGGGTGGGAGCACTGGGTGCCCTGGCGCAGTATCTGGTGCCCTAAGGGAGGGATTCTGCAATGACTTACAGTGTCCCAAAGCCGGTGGGTGTATGCTGGTGTAGAAGAGAGGAACCCTACATTGCCATTCTCAGCACAGGCCATCAGGCAGAGCTGGGGACCTGAGCTCAGCAGTCTATACAGTAGAAACCTCTTGGTATGCAAGTCTCTATTCCAGAAGCTGGCTTTTCCTGTCCCCCTCCCCCAAACATGGCCTCCTGATGCAAACAGCATTCAGATGCACTGGCAGCACTGTGAACAGCTGCACTTGGACTCCTGGGTTCCAAGGCTACCTCTGGCTGTCCAAGGCCTGGTCTACACTACAAAGTTAGATCGACTCAGCTGTGTGAAAAATCCACATCCAGGAGCGACATAGTTAAGCCGACCCAAACCCTAGTGTAGACAGTGCTAGGTCAACGGAAGAGGTGAATTACTCACGCCAATGGGAGAACCCCTGCTGTCGCTGTAGGTAGCGTCTACACTGAAGTACTACAGTGGCGTAGCCATGTCACTGTAGCATTTCAAGTGTGGATAAACCCAGCATCCCTGAGGGAGTGGCTAGGGTACGGCAGGAGACTTAAGGCTGTGTCTACACTACCACTTTTGTCAGCAAAACTTATGTTACTCAGGGGGGTGAATCTTCCACCCCCACAAGCGACAAATTATGCCGGCATAAGCATTAGTGTGCACAGCGTTATGTCAGCAGGAAATCTTCTCCCGCCAACATAGCTACTGCCGCGCGTTGGGGGTGGATTAATTATGTCGATGGGAGAGCTCTCCCCCATAGGCACAGAGCAGCTACAGGGCTGCTTAGAGCGGTGTAGCTGTGCCACTATAAACTCTCTAGTGTAGACATAACCTAAGGCTATAGGAGAGCTTCTCCTGATGACATAGCTTCTGCAGCTTGTGGAGGTGTTTTTTTTATGCCAACAGGAGAGAGCTCCTCCGTCGGTACACAGCCTCTTCACCAGACACACTGCAGCTGTATTGGTACAGCTGTGCTGCTACGGCGCTGTACATATAGACATACCCCGAGTGGCACCTTGCTCCATAAGCCCCCTCTGATGTGGGAGAGATGTGATTGGTGGAGAGGTTATTCCCATCATTTGCAGAGCATAACAGTGTCACACCCTAAGTGTTTCTTGGTATGCGGACTGGATTCTACAGGATGTTTCCTATACCTGCATTGCCATTCATAGGTAAGAGCTCTCACCATCTGTCCGTGGCTTGGATGAGGCTGGAGACTTGCTCCAAGTACTCTTTGGCATAGACAACCACTGGCTCGGATTCATTGAGTTCCACCGGGTAGAACACAGTGGTGAGGAAGGGCATCCAATTGATAGCTGGTGCCAGGTTCTGGAAGAGAGGCAGAGATAAAAAACTACATGTTGCCCACCCAATGAGACAGCGCACAGGAGGCAGGGCTATGTTACCTGGACAGACCGTTAGCCCAAAGGCCAGTCTGCAGGGCAGCTGCGATCTCTGGCTATATGTCCCCTTTAAATACACCTTCACTCCGAAGGCGTGGATTAAAGCATGTGTTTTACCTTCAGCTTCACTGATGTCTGTCTGAAGCCAGGTGAGTGAGGGAGGAAAGAGCTGGTGTCAGGTCAACAGTGGATGGATCTTATTTTGAGAACATGTCTTGCAGTTAGGGTCAGATGGATTAGGCTGCTCAAGGGTCTTTAGCTATGGTCATAGGACTTCTCCAAGAGGAACCTGAACTGGTAGGCAGTTTCAGTGAGGAATGGACCATAGCACGTTGCCACTGCATGCAAGATAGATGTTTTATAACTGATTGCTGTTGCTCTAAGTTACTGATGACTTAAATTGGTCCTGTATGTCCAGGCTCAGCCAGCTGCCTGCCCTTTCTATGCAGAGATGCAAGCTATTATCCCTCAAGAGTGAGGAAAACAGTTCACCCTCAATCTAATGGGTTAGTCAGAATTTGCAGTCAGGTTCCCTTGACAACTCCTGCTTCTGGAGGTTGAAGGGGACAGAATTATTTCCTGTCTTGACTGCTCATAAAAAAAAAGATGTAATAAATCCAGAATGGTGTAAACGGAGTGCTCAAGGTGACAAGTGGAGTAAACTTATTCCCACTCCTCTAGGAATAACAACAATTGTAATGATGCCCCCAGCTGCACCGTTAGTAGGGATTGAACGTGGGATCTCTTCATTTAAGCAATCTAGCCTCTACAACCTGAGTTAAAGGAGCATCTCTTTTAGCGCAGCAGCAGACTCAAACTTCTAGAGTGGCCCAGCCCCTGGCGGGGACAGAGTCACACTGCGTTAGTGAGGGTTCCAGAGCTCCTACACTCCTCTATAGCACTTTTTGTCTGTTGATCTCAAAACATTTTATAAAGGAAGATCAGTATTATTATCTCCCTTGTACAGATGATGACGCTGAGGCACAAAGGTCATGCAACAGGTCATTGACCACACTGGGAATAGAACTCAGGTCTCCTGTGTCCTAGTTCTCTGGACCTCACTGTTTCTCAGAGTAGCTTGTGGCTGCTGGAGGAATCCCAACACCCTCACTTTTATGTACCCAGCTGTTAGTAACAAAAGCTTGAAACCCAATCTCCTATGCCTGCATATTTCTACTCCCCAGCAGATGCTGGCAGAGACAAATAACATCTGCAAGTGGGGATATTGACACTGACCTCTGAGGATGCAAAGAGCTAGATAGCAATCCCACCTAGCTCCCTCGGCGTGGGAGAGGTATGAAACCTGTAGTTTCACTGCTGAAGAGTGCCACACCCAGCTTGGTACACTCACTGTGTTGATACACAGTGACTCATCAGGCTTTCAGGCGAAGGATTTAGGGACCCAGCAGATACCAGCCACCAAGAAGTTAGTCTTGGGATGCCATGGAGATATTGATCCTCCAGCAGCACCCAGTTATCACAGGTGATCCTTGTCACATGTATGTGCAAACAGCTGCCTCTAAATTAAACCAGTGACAGATGGCTGGGTTAACAGCAGAAACAGCACAACTCAAGAGGCTATGTGTAAACAGTGTGCGATACTGGCAGCATGTCACCAAGTCACCTGTTGTAGATCAGAGGAAGAATATGCACACAGAGCAAGAGAGTCAAAGATGGAGTCATTTAGCAGCCCAGAATAGCCAGACTGCAGCACATTCCAGCCATAGCTCCTACCCCTCCCCCAGCACACTCCAGTACTGGGGGCTGCATAGGGCCAGTCTCCTAGCCCTAGCACCACCAGGGAACCTGCCACTTTGAAGACTTCAAACACAGGGGTGATTTGAGTGGAGTGCTGGTAAGAGGCTACAGGCATGGTCCTCTAGGCAGCAAGCTCAGATGCATTCCCCAAAGAGAGAATTCTACCAGGTGAAGTTTAGGCCTAGAGAAGCAGGAGCCAGGTAACAGCAGGCTCTCCAGAGTCATGGGGGGTTTGATATATTTAGCCAGGCCCTCAGCATGGAGAAGCTTTGAGAGAAAACTCTTGCTGTTGACCCAGTAAAGCAGAGATCAGGGAGTTAGATCTTGATGGGGCAGCAGGGGTTAGGAGCAGCAGGGTGCCGGGCAATAGATCACAGCGCCCTGGCCCAGGATTTCAAACACAGGTGCCTCTGGTTCGGTTCCCAAGTTAAAACTGAGCTTCCAGAACAAGTTGCTTGGTTCCCAGAAGGGTTGTGAATTGAGGTGGCTTTCTTCTTTTTTTTTTTTTAAACTTTCCCAGCCTTGGGCATGAGCCGGGCCAGTGAGAATGTTTCCTGAGAGCAGGGTCCCTGAAAAGTCTCAGATCCAGGGTTATGGGCGACACCAGAGCACTGCTAGGCATGGGAAGGCAAGGGGGTGGTGGGCCGAGCAGTCACATTTGCTTCTGGATATAGACAGGTTCACATGAACATGATCTACACGTTGGTTTCTGAACCATTACAGAACAGAAGCTGCTAGTGTGGTTCCCAGCTTGCACGGTGCATGTTCTACAGTGTTTCTTGCCCCAGCACAGCAGAAACACTTTGGTATTGGCAAAGCTTATCCCATTGCCAGTGGCAGGCTACCAGCATCAAGGTCTTAATGTAGCCCCTCCCCCATTCCCCAGCTGAGCCTTTCCACCTCTACTACTGCCAAGGACCAGCCTCTGCCTCTCACCCAGGGCATGTGTGCCGCTACTGCCTTTACCTTGAGCTCTCCGGCTGTCACTTTGTGGTAAATCACTTCCTCATCCCTGCGCTTCTCCTGAGGGATGGTGATGTTGGCTAGCGCCGTCTCAAAGTCCAAGATCTGCTGCATCTGCTGCCGGGTGGCCTCCTCATCTGCCCCTCCCAGGAGCATGCCCAGCCGCACCATGTAATTCAGGTACCCAGTAAGTACCTAGATGCCAGGGAGAAGAAGATAAGGTGATTGGCCCTGCTGTTAGTTGCTGCTCCTGGCTGGGAATGAGAAATGAGGGAAAGGCCTGAATTCACTCCCCAGGGCTCAGCCTGAAACCAGTCACCTGTAGCAGCCCTGCTAGGACAGGGACAACAGGCCAGCTCGGTAATGAGCAATGGAGAGACTCTCTGCCTTGCCTATGTTTAATCTATTATTCACACCAGGCTGGAAATAAACCCTCCCTGCATAACTCCTCTCCCATCCCCCAGCTCCAGCTCCCGCTGAGAGGGCAAGTTTCTGCCTCCTCCATAATGCATAGCTGATGGCAAACAGACAGGGTTCTCTCATCCACACCTACGCACTCTCTTGTCCTGTCTGCAGGAGACAGCTTAGCATGGCAGAAGAATAGCTCTCTCCAGGCCCATAGTCAGAGGAGACCATCCTCCCTCGCCATCTCCAGGAGCCTGAGCACATCATAAATTAGAGACGCTCAGAGAGGCAGAATCTACTCTTCCTGCAGCTCTACAGGAAGCTGGTCTGTGTGCACAAAGCTAATGCCTCCCAGATGTCTGCTTTATAGGCAATGGCAGGTTTAATCACAGGAATGCACCACTCACCCAAGGGGACTTGTCCTTGGCCAAAATCACTACCAGGCACATTCGGAGGCACACTGCTAGCTTGTTTTCCTCTCCCTTTTCATTTAAGATCCACTAGTTCATGAGGATGGAGCATGGAGGTAGAGCAGCAGCCACAGTTAGGGAAGTTATGTGGCTGAGCAGTGAGGTTGCCAGCCTGGGGTGTAGTGAGCTGTTAGAATCCCATCTCCTCTAAAATGCCAGCATTGCGTCTCATCTTGCACCTGGAGCTGGGCACCCTCCACCCATGGGGAAGGACGCGTCACTGAGGTGGTTCCTGGGCTGAGAGTGAAGGTGAATAATACGCACAAGGTCTTTCTGGTGCTCAAACAGATGGATCTTGCAGGGAATAGGCATTAAGTAGCCCTTAATTGCTAAACTGAGCCCATGCTGCAAGGAAGAACATGAGAGGAGATGGACGCATACCTTCTCATTCTCCGTTTTGTTCAGGTAGTAATCTCTGGAAGGTAACCCGAGTCCTGACTGGTCTACCTGAAGAATAAATGGAGCAGGAGTGAACACGGTGCACAGCACGGAGAAAGATAAGAGCGTGGCTATGGTACAAGCAAAGCCCCTGTAGCCAAGTGACTTGGCTCTCACTACAGGGGGGCACTGCTGAGTTGTTACCCCAGTGAAACAAGACCATGCAAAGTGAGGAAAGGACCCAACTCGTCTTTCAGTTGAACATTGCCAGGACTATCTGTCAGGAATGAAACTCACCTGGATGACGTTGCTGTTGGAGTTCTTGGAGTCAGCGTTCACGTAGACAGAAAAGAAGGGTGAGGTGTGGTAGTATGCCATGACCTCCTGCAGGGTCTTGTTAAAGTTATCTTTGTCCCAGGGGCCCGTGATATTCCAGCCACCGAGCTGGGAAAAGAGAACCGCACACAGATGGATGAGATAGGGCCCTAGACGTGCAAAGGAGGGGTCTTGTTTCCTGTTAAGGAGATAGCGCAAGGGACTGGTTGCACCACCTAGAGCTGAGCAAAGGAGGCAAACTCATGGGAGCATGGATCAAACACGGACTATCAACTGGATTTTTAGTGGCCAGGTTGCTGCTTTCTGCCTTGAGGAGTCTGTATCCTGACTCCTCTCCTGCTCCTGACTTCCTATGCAAAGCAGCAGGTCTTGACAAATGAATGAAGGTCCAGTCTACATTTCTCCAAAGAAGGGACATGCTGGGGCAGTGTTTAAAGTGCTGTGGTCACAGACATGCGAAAACAATTCTGAATAGCCAGCCGGTTGCTAAGGGGTGCACGATGTCAGTAATGCCTGGGGACCCCTCCCTCTGATTAGCTGCTTCCCCCCTTGCCCGCCTCCCGAGGAAGAGCAGCCAATCACAGCGGATGCAGGAACCAGGTCAAGCTCTTCCCTGCTCCCCCAACAGCTGACATTGTTCTCATGGACAAGGATGCGGGAGGAAAAAGAGCCCACCGCACCCAGCCTGGGAAGGGGCAGAGGGGGTGAAGAGCTCCTGGAGCTGCTGAGGGAGCTCAGGTGAGGCTGTGGGGGACAACTGATGTAGAGGCAGAACTGATGGTGAGTCTGGAGGAGGCAGAATGGCTGTGGGGGCTGCAGAGCACAGGGTTGATTTTGGGCAAGGAGACAGGCAGATATTGATGATTGACCCCATGGGTTTTTCAGACCACTTTAAGCACGGCAATCAGGTAGCCAGGGTCCAAAATTTTTCTTGACTCTCAGTAGTTATACAGGGTGTATAAGCACTCTGTGTTGGTCGTATTCTGGTCCCACTGGAATCAATGGTAGACCTCCCTTTCACTTTAATAACAGAGATAGAACAGTGCTGCTGCGTTTGAAAATCCACACTTGGGCATAGATGTTCTCAGAATCATATTATCTATTGAATTTAGAAGCCAACATTGTCACGTGGAAGGTTAATAAAGAAGCTGGATGTTGCTTTAATGTAGGTCCTACAGAAAAGTAACATTCTGGGCATTTTTTACTGCCTCCTGCTTGCTCCACCACATGAGTTTGTCTCAGAGCAATGCTGACCTCACTGAGGTTTCAGATACTAACATTTAACTAGAAGAGAGTTTGCTAGATCAAACCAGTGGGAGAAACTTTTTCAAGCTTCCAACAAGGGTTTTACAAAGCATATAAAGTACTGGCAAGTGCCCTTTGAGCTAGTGGAAGGGAAGTTTGGGAGGTTAAGGTGCACTGATTGGAAACTGGCAGTAATCTTTTGGTATTTGGTTAAATACAGAGTAACTTGGCATTTGTTTGATGGGCTGCCTTAGAGCCTTAGGCCATTTACTGGGCTAAAGCAACATGGAATTTGGTCTTCATTGCATGTTCCCCATCCAGCAACGGAAGCTTCATGGAAAGACCAGATCTCACCCAATTTCAGCTGCACAGCTGGCTTCTGGAGGCACTGAAAGCAAGAGTGGAAGAACTACCACACAGTGAGTATTGGACCCCATACTCGTGCACAAGGTTTAGAGCTTTATTTGTACCCATTGCCTGTAGAATGTGCTGGTAGCAGGAAGAACTAGGTAACTAGGCAGGCAAGACCAGCCCTTTCTTTCTAATTAGTATGTTTCTCAAATGAAAGACACCCTCACCCCTGCCCTGTCAGCTCTATGGATCGATGCCACCCATAGACCACTCAGTACAGCATCCACTTTGGTTTTGCCAGGAAGAGTCCATGTCCTAGATGGATACATGTCCTGTTGGACAGTGTCCTGAGAAGGAAGGTGGGGATGAGTCTCCTCCTTCAGACCCATTGCAGACTTGAACACTGAAGATACTGGGTGAGATTTTCAAAGGCACAAATGGCAGCTAGGTGTCTAACTCCCATGGCCAGTCAATGGGGGCTAGGCACCTAAGTGCCTTTGACAATCTCCCTCACCATTTGCACCCTTGCATGGCTCAGCCTACCTGCTGTAACATCCGCCAAAGCCATGGAAGATGCCAACACCCTGAACTGAGGTTACTCTAGGGTAGCCCTTTAGGAGGTGACCTCCCTGGGGGTGGAATGGCTCACACAGGGCATCTGGACACTAGGAGTAGTCCATGCCCATGATACAGAGAGGTAAGACAGACATTCCCATTCCAGGCCATTTACCCTGCACTGCACAATTATTAGAGATGCAAACGGGCTATCTTGGGGTTTACATCCAGAATGGGACTAAACGTGGAGATTCTGGCAGAGGGAGTGTCCAGGAGCCGCTGTGGGAACCTGCAGCCATGCCAGTCCCAGCCATCAGTGCTGTGGGAACTGGTGTATGAATGGTGGAACCCCCAGCCTCTTCAGGCACTTTGAGTGGAAAGGGATTACCTTCTCAATCAGCTCCATCAGTGGTTTGGCCTTCAGTTCCTCGATCTTGGTCTCATTCATGCAGGACTGGTAATAGCGCTGGGCCTTGCGCTCGGCCTCGCTGGACATGTTTGATGTGGTATTTTCTGTAAGACAAGCCGGGCATGGTGCTAGGAAGACTCCATCTGAGCCAGAGGGATGCTGACGATTCCATGTCATAGAATATCAGGGTTGGAAGGGACCTCAGGAGGTCATCTAGTCCAACCCCTGCTCAAAGCAGGACCAATCCCCAGACAGATTTTTGCCCCAGACCCCTAAATGGCCCCTTCAAGGATTGAACCCACAACCCTGGGTTTAGCAGGCCAATGCTCAAACCACTGAGCTATCCCTCCCCCCAAGCATTGCTGTTTAGGAGGGACAGACTGTACTTTGTAAGAAAAGCAGTGCTTAACTAGTAATGAAAGAGGAGCCGGGGCTCAAGCAATTTTTTAAAATTCATAAGTGATGCAGCAAGCCCAGAGGCGCCGGGGCTCTGAACTGCCAGGCCCAGAGGTTAGGGTTGCCAACTTTCTAATCACACAAAGCCAAACACCCCTGCCTCACCCCTTCTCTGAGGCCCTGCCTCCGCTCGCTCCATCCCCCCGCCGTCACTCGCTCTCCCCCACCCTCACTCACTTTCACTGGGATGGGGGAGGGGGTTGCGGTGCAGGGTGGGGGTGAGGACTCCAGCTGGGGGTGTGGAATCTGGGGTGGGGTAGGGGATGAAGGGTTTGGGGTGCAGGAGGGGGCTCCGGGCTGGGGCAGGGAGTTGGGGTGTGGGAGGGGGGTGAGGACTCTGGCTGGGGGTGGGGGGGCTCTGGGATAGGGCTGGTGATGAGGGGCTTGGGGTGCAGAAGGGGGCTGGGGCAGGGGTGCGGGAGAGGGTGCAGGTGGCACTTACCGTAGCTCCCAGGAAGCGGCCACCAGGTCCCTGCAGCCTCTACGTGCATGTGCAGCCAGGGAGGCTCTGTATGCTGCCCTCGGGCCCGCATGCGCCGCCCCTGCAGTTACCATTGGTCACAGTTCCCAGCCAATGGGAGCTGCGGAGCTGGCACTGGGGCGGGGGCAGCACGTGGAGCCTCCCTGGGCGCTCATGTGTCTAGGGGCCGTAAGGACCTGGCAGCCACTTCTGGAAGCCGCGCAGAGCTAGGGCAGGCAGGCTCTCTGTTTCCCAAAGGTCATCTTTGATTTGGAGTCCCCAGTCTTCCACCTCATCCAACTTCAGAGACTGATCCTTGGGAAAACAATCCCCCATTGCTCCCACAAGCCTTGCCTACACTGAGTGTTTCTTTGAAGTCCTCCCGTTCCCTTGCTCTAGCCCCAGTGGGAAACCCCCACTGCCTTATAGTGATCATTCTGGGGGGAAACACTACAGGGGGTAGATACTAAGGACTGCCAGCCAAAGTAACAGAGCTCCTCTGAAGCTAGCAGTCCTATATACTGTCCCCAGCAGTCCCTCCTGCTGCGAGTGACAGGGACTGGAGCAGCCAGATTAAACAGCAGAGGTTATTCTAATAACCCAGGATGAGAGGAAAACTGCTTCCATAAGCCTGTTCTCATCTCGGTTTCTAGGCAGCTAGTTACACGCACAGCTGAAGCCCATACGCTGCTGGGTGCCATTGTTTCCCTAATGGAACTCTGCGTCCAGAGAAGAGGAAGAGGTGGGGCAGCGAAGACAGTGCTGGCCAGACAATAGGGCAGATGTAACCAAGTCAGGGAGTCCCCATCATTCAGTGGCTGGGCTTGGCACACATGCATCCCACATGCAACCCCAGCAGTACTTCAAGTGACTCCCTGGTTTGTAGACAGCAGTCTGCTAGGTGAGCCTTCCCTGCAAACACCAGTAGTATCTGGGCTAAGGCCTGTATCAGCTGGAAAGTGCTTTTTGCATAACAGAGAGTGAGCAAGATGCTGCTTGTTTAGAAATGTTTGCAACACACACATCCTTGGTAAAGGAAGAAGGAAGAAATCGTTTAGAAGACCTTCTGGATGGTAATCTGCTGGCTCCTACACAAGGGAGGGCAGAAGGACACCTGACTCTGAAGTCACCACTTGTGTACTGGAGATGGAGATGCCCAGTGTTCAAATCTCTTAAAAGGCCCTCCCACTGGACACCCATAGAAAAGGCAACGTAGAAGGCAGTATCTTACACAGAAAGACCACCGATTACCTCTACGCTGGGCCCTAGCTCCAAATCTATCTAAACACGGCACTGCAGACTGTTCTGGCATGATTCACCATGAGCTATGCAGCTGTACTGAAGATGAGCTTAAGTGTGACGTCCCCCTGAGAACTCCCATCGGCATCAGAGGGGAGAGCAGGTGAACTGTGATGGAAACCCGCTTGACTGGAGACAGTGGGAGGAGTGCACTCTGAGCAATGGGGAGTCACCTTGGAAGGGTTCTCAGGCTCCAGGGGTGATGAAGTGCCAGCAGAAGCTAGAGGGGCAGGGCAGGGAGAGGCCTGGCAGCAGCTGGACTGATGGAGTGGGCTCCACCTGGAGCAAAGCCAGGCTGTGGAGCATGAGATGTGGCTGACCTGGCTTCAGTGCTTTGAACTGCTGCATGTGCGTGTGGGGGTGAAGGGATTGGGCTCCATTCCTGGAGCCTGGCTGGGGCTGCCTCATTTTTAGACTCTGTTCATGAACAAAGGCCTTGACATTTGTGTCAGGACATGTTGCGATTCAAAGGCGTCACCATGGGAAGTTGCGGAGCCCAGGAGATTTCTATTGGAGCTCAATTTCCTGCTGCAGCGGAGTCCTGTCTTCAGAGATAATCCTGTACTTGGCCACCAAGGCTTCAGAGGCCATAGGGGCAGCTCCTCATGTCACCCCACCTCAACCCCACTGGCTGATGACAGCTGGATGCAGGCGGGGCCTGCCTACCCTCCGTACTGTGACTGAGTGGAACATGATGACTCCATCTGTGGTTTGGGAGTGGGGTATTCAGACTGTGTTCCTGAGCCAGGGCTCTGAACTCAGTCTGCCCTCCTTCCTCCCCATCTGTGCACAAGAGCATGCTAGAATGCACTGCACGACATGAAAGCCGCTCCCAATAGTGCTCTCCCGGGCGGAAGAGCGCATGGGAGAGTGGATTTCCCTGGCCGATGTTCACCCTGCTACTCAGCACAGCAGGCAATGGGGTGAATCGTGGATGTGCTGATGTGCGTTAAGCAATAGCTGCATCAGGGCCTTCTTACACTTAACACAAGCCTGGCCCTCACTGACGAAGGCTTTTGTCCATGGGAGCTGGAAAGACGGGAGGCATGTAGCAGGTCTACAGAGGTGTGGGATAGAGGGAGTTATCAAACCTGTGATAGTGACAGAGCTTTCCCTGAGGGCTAGGAAGGAAGTCAGGAAGCTAGTAGCCAAACATTTGCACATCTGTGTGCTAGAAAAACCAAACACAACCCACTTGTATGAGCTGGAAAAAGCCAGATCTGGGAAAGGCTCTCAGAGCCCAGGGAACAAAGCGCTCCCATTGCCATGGGAACCGCTCCCCAGCACCAGGCCCACGCCAGCTCCTTTGCCTGGGAAATGGCAATTGAGGGAGCAAAAGCTCCACGAGGGAGCTCTTAGTTGTGTAGTTTCATCTGCTGCTGGAGATGCCACCAGGGCATTCGAAGTTCAGCAATTCCAACCTGCCAAAATGGGGTGCTAATTTGTGTCTTTGGCTGCCTGGTCCCGTCTCCCCACACTGCAGAGGCAGGGCTCTCCCTTTGGAGAAGACGGACAAGGAAAGCAAAACAAAAGGCCTTTCCCAGAAGCCCTTGAAAGTTCTGCAGATGGGTTGGCTCTCGTTGTTGAACTGACTGTAAGTGCGCTGTGTTCCTGGGGCTAGGTTTCTTGTTAGCTCTCATTTATTTGCATAATAAGATCCACAAGTCTGCAAGCAGTTCCTTGAAAGACAGATAATAAACACTCCCTCAGGCCAGAGCAAGATAATTAGGACAGGCCTTAAAAAGGAAGCCATAAAAGTGTAGATCTGCTCTGAGCAGCCATCCACTAGTCAAAGGGACATGCACACACACACGTTCTTTGAGATTTAGGCCCTACAGTCTGGGCAGCTTTATAACCAATTGGAATCCACCAGGGAACATCCTTTGAATAACCCAACCTCTCAACTATGAAAGATTTTTAAATTAAATGGACAGAGAACTAGAACACTATAGGGAACAATTTTGCATTGGTCTTTCTGGACTGGATGAATAGCATGGCCCAATAGATGTTTTCTGTTTCTAGCTTCTACAATCTGTTAAGGTTCCCTCCCCTAGAACTCCATCACTCTGTCAACCTAAATCCTACATCTGGGGGGAGGAGGGGGGACCCACAGGCAAGACCTACTGAATGCAGGATTGCAGCCTGCAAAGCAGTGATGCTGTCCACTATGACGTTTACATCCTTTTCAAACAACAGAACATGAGCTCCTACTCACTGCAATGCTGTGGCAAAAAGCACTAATGGAATCCTTGGATGTATCGACAATGCAGTGCGTCAGAGCTGGGAGGTAATTTTACCTCTCTATACAGCATTGGTGAGACCAATAATTGAATGCTGCATCCAGTTCTAGTGTCTACGTTTAAAAAGAATATTGAAAAATTGGGAGAGGATATAGAGCAGAACTACAAAAATGATTAGAAAGTTGGATACAATGCCTTACAGGGAGAGATGGAAAGAGCTCCATCTGTTTAGCTTATCAAAAAGAAGTGACTTGGTGTTTTCTTCTTGTGAAGCTGTTCATACCAGCAACTAAAGGGCTTTTTAGTCTAGCGGAGAAAGGCAGAACAAGAACAAATGACTGTAAATTAAATCCAGATGTATTCAAATAAGAAATAAGGCACACACATTTAACAAGAAGGGTGATTAACCACTAGATCCAACTCCCAAGGGGAGTGGTGGATTCTCCAATTTAAATCTGCAAATCAAGACTGGATCCACTCTGGGAGATGCTTTAGTCAAACACAAATTATTGGGATCATTACAGGGGCAACTGAGTGGAATTCTCTGGCCTGAAATCTATGAAAATAACTCCACTGGCCATAGTGCAGGCAGCCCACAAGAAAGGCTGATGTAACACAGAGTCCGTTTAGCTTCAATTCCCTTTAGAAA